AGAGAGAGAGAGAGAGAGAGAGAGAGAGAGAGAGAGAGAGAGAGAGAGAGAGAGAGAGAGAAACCGACTGACCGAGTGACAGACAGACAGACTGACAGACAGAGAAGTTTCTGATTATGATTGAAAACACTGCGAACTAGAGAGCATTGGTATGGATTCTGGAGTCTTTGGACATGTGGGCTCATTAGTCAATGAGCAACCAAGAGCTTGGATGTCATTCCAAAGAAATAGGCAATACACCTGTGTAGGATTTGTGAAGTTCAGTGACTCGTCTTTCAAAGTCCGAGACACAGAGTGAGAACTGCTCAGAACTGTGCAGTGAGCCCCCACTTCACACATAACTTCATCAAGGAGAGGAGACGAACCTGATGTATGAGGACTCTGAAGATTGCTGGAAATCAAACTTTCATACAGCAATTTGAATGTGTACGGGTATGGTGGAATACGGCCGCGAAGCAACAACAGTTACAACACTAAGGTATGACCACTCACTCTCTCTCTCTACCCTACTCTGCCCTCAGGCCTCACTCACTCCCTTAATGTCTTTCTCAATCTCTCTCCCCCTCAAGCTACTGCTATGGCGCAGTTGACAACCCTACTTGACTACACACATCCAGTCTTATTCAATACTTGGTCACAAAAGACCACAGCAGCGATTCTGCAATGAGCTTGCATGAAGTTTGTGTTGATGCTTTGCTGCAGTCAAACTTCTGTATCCAACGTCTCAGGTTCCCATCTTGGACTGTTCAAATCGGTTCCCTCAGTGCTGGCTGTGGTCGGCCTTTGACACACCCGGAGAGTTTCATGACTTTTCTAGGACTGAGCTGCTAACCAGTCTGGACCAACTGACTGGATTGATGGACGAACTTGGGCCTACTGGACCTACTGGAGCTAACTATCTACTTACAAGGTTGGGGCTGTGGTGCATGGGGCTTTGGAACTTCAGGGCCAGGAATGGAGCTTGGACGCTGAGATGCATGAAATCCTTGCACTTCTGCTGGCCTAATTTCGAGGTCCTTCCAGACAGTGAACTTCCTTCCTAAGTTATGAGACGAATGCCTCTCCTTGATTGTTCATTATTTGAGACAATCCACAGTCTCACTTAGCTCGATTTTTATGAACCATCGGTTCATACTCTGGGTCTTGGTACTATAGAAGCGAACTTCGATTTGTTGTTGCAGCCATCCTCAGCTGCCTGACATTGCAACTTGGATCATCAACGTACACATAGGGAACTATGCATTTGAGACACAAGGCAAAAACTTGGAGGTGTGGAACACTGGGCAAGTTCTGAGGTGCAGAAGTATGTGAATCACATATGATGGGCCGTCAACATCTCCTACTACTGACACTTCCATCGGTCCTCTGCATGCAGGTAGCAACTTCTGTGATATCCTACTCCAGGCAAGAACTCTTTAGACTTTACCCAGACTAGATTGCCTAAAGCGCACTATGACAGGTTCCTTGCTTATTGGCCTGTTCTACCATCTTCTCTTGGGCATGCCTAATGTTCTTTGCGACCTTCTGATGGTCCTCCTCATACTTTAGTCATGTTCAGTGCAAATTGTCGATTTCGGGTGTCAATCTCTGGTCCTGACCTGTATTTGAACAATCAATAGGCCTTCGTTTGTTTCCACTCGTTATGCAATTTGTTGGGCATTTTACTTGTGGCCTTCGTGGTTTCCACTCGTTATGCAATTTGTTGGGCATTTTACTTGTGGATAGATGCACTAAGTTATTGTAGGCATTGGCTACCTCGGCAAATGTTCGTCCCAATCAGTTTGATATGGTCTGATATACATGTGAAGGATCTGCTGTAGTTTGTTCATCTGCTCAGTCTGACAATTTGTTTTGGGTGTCTACCCGACATTATGGTCAACGACGATCCGTACACCTTCATTAGTTGTTGCCACTGCTTTTCCTAGTAAACGTAACGTCCTTATCACTAACTATGATCAGCGGAAACTCTTTATCCTAGGCACAATGTGCAAATAACTCGTGAATAACTAGATTTGACTTTGCTTCCCCTGGAAGGGGAATGAGTTCTGCATACTTGCTGAAATTGTCTGTGACTACAATAACTTGACAGTTCCCTCTTCCACTTTTGACTTTCGTGTCCATAAAGCATATTGATAGTGACTCTCTGGGTTCTGAGGGAATAGGCAATGATTTCAGCAATCCTAAGAGTGCTCTTGTTCCACTGGCGGACTTTACACCCCTGAATGTATAGCAAGTTCTTCCTGCAGGCAAAATGTCCCCTGACATTCACCGAGAAGTCTGCTACAGATTTCCTCATTGTTTAGTATGCAAAGTTTGGCTTCGTCATTGGATGTTATACTCTGACACTTCGTGAGGCTTCTCTTCTGTTGCAGCTGTGACTCCCCAAGGCACCTCATCATCTGCATACACGTTTCAAATCTTCTGTTGCAGCTCTTACCGTGCTTCCCATACAGAAGGGGTGCTCCCTTGGGGGCGTATCCCCACCGAGCTGCCGATACACATGCGGCAGCTTTTACTTGTTGCGGTAGAGGTACATCAGCCGAGGGTAGGTCCCGGGGTACTAATCTCCCATGCCTTAGAGGCAAACAGTCAACCAGAGGGTTTAACTTCTTTCACTCCAAGTCCCTTTCTCTACCTCGCAGTGTTGCACGGATGTGCATTCCCCATTTTTAACATTCATTCTTCTCCCAAGTTCCATGGAGACACAGACTTAGTGCCATACGATCTTTTGGCATAATAAACTCCTAACCACATGTTCGACACCACGACTGGATCTATCAGGCCTGGCGAGAGTTTCTGTACCCAAACAGCACTCCCCTACCCTACCCCGTCATTGAGAGATGGCACCTAGTGGTGCAGCCGCTCTAACACATGACAGGAGATCACCTTCGGTGTGGCGTGACCTCCGCCCATACCACCGAAGTTGTCATGCCGAAGTAACACTTTTCCCCACATGCCAGGGCTAAGCCAAACCTAGAGAATCTTGCACACCCAAGTGTTAAAAAATGTGCTTAGCCTTCCCACTCATCATCTCTCCTAGGACATCTACCTCAAAAGTCTGTTACTGTTTTACAAGCATAAAATAATCCCGTAATCAAATCTACGTATTTCACGGTATTTGACCATTGTCGCTCCCCCCCTTAGTGCTTTCAGGGTACTTCTACCAGAGCTAGATAGTAGGAAGATCAAGACCATGACAGTGAATGCCATCTCAATGAAGTTATTCTTGCCACAAGACCATCACCACAATGAAGAACACTTTGCCTCCTTGCAGAAGCAGTATACAACACTCCATGATTAAGAGTCCGACAACCTCAATGCCGTCAATGCTACTGGACTCACATAATCAAGCATACCTGCATGAATGTGCCTACAAACACAATCAAACGACAGGACAGACAAGAGTCACGACACAATTCCGTACATGCATGAGGGATGAGGGAGATGAGTCAACTGACCTGACAAAAGGAAAAAAAACTTGTACAATCCAATCCAAGCAATGATGAATCCGCAATCACCAACCTGGGGAGCTGGATCTCAATACAACAATCTGCAGGCCGGTACGTTGAACTACCCCAGCAG